TCTGACACGATTTTTATTAATAATAATAAAAATTCAACGAAAATTTTTTTTTATATTTTTTTATTAACGTAAAAATAATTCGAAAAATTTATTATTATATTTATTATAATATTTATTATTATTATTATTATTATTATTATTATTATTATTATTATTATTATTATTATTATTATTATTATTATTAACAAATAAAAATTTTAAATAAAATAAAAAAAACGTTTTTCATTAAAAAAAAAATAAAACACCCGGTTGATAATATAAAAATCCTAATTAAAAAAAATTTTTAATTAATCATTGTATAGTTATTGTCATTATTATTATTATTATTTTTATTTTTAAACACGACAGCCTTCTAAAAATTGTATTATTATTATTATTACTAGAAGGAAAAGGAGGAAAAAAAATTTAACGAACTTTGTAAACGTCACATTTAATTCTTTTGTTTAGTTTTTCTTTTTTTTTTGTCACGTATTTTATAGTCTTAATAAAACGAAAGTAAAGTTGTTTCCTTTTTTCCTTCTGAACACCTTCTAAAGGATTTCAGTATATACATAAATACGTAAAATATTATTATTATTATTATTATTAGCATCATTTTCACTCATGATCGCGAAAATTCGTTTTAATATTTGTCGGAGCTTTTTCAACCGATCCCCAAGGAATTCGAGTAATACTGCATGACTGATGTATAGGTTTCGTCTCGTTATAACCTATGACGTCATATTAATTCTTGTGTGATTATCTCATTTTGGGCCTCAGTCAGTGACTGAGAGATCTGTGAAGTGTCCAGGAACTGGAGAAGGAAGATTCACAACCTTGCCAGGAGCTGATTCAGGTTGGCATTGAACAAGATTTGCCTTTTGGTTCTTCTGTCTTTATCTTATTTCATTTTGCTCTATTATTATTATTATTATTATTATTATTTTTCATTTTCAATCAGGACAATGTTTGTCGAAATCCATTTATATTCCAGGTTTCTCAACACTTCTCATCTTTCAGGAATAAATGCTTTAAATATCAAACTTATAGGTTTCGCCTTTTTCTATAAAAACCTTCATCGTCCATCTTGTTAGATGAGAACCAAGTACTTCTAGAAGAATTAAAAATCCTAAAAATCTTCGTTATGTTGTCTAAAAACGACAGAAGAATTATTTTCGATTCCGTCATTGTTTGAAATCAACGACGCGTAATGTTTCCAAGCGACAATCATCCATCCGAGTACTAATATCGTACGATATTACTTAACCCATAATAAAACTGGTACATCCATCACCAGTTGACTTTTATTATTATTATTATTATTATTATTATTATTATTATTATTATTATTATTATTATTATTATTATTACTTTGGAACGCGACAAATTCCACAGACTCATCCTCAAACGACCGATTCCTTAAAAAAAAATAATTGATATTAAATATCGATGGCGAACTACTTGTAAAATTTTGTCTAAAAATAAATAAGGCGTCCCACGCAAAAAAATATCATTATTATTATTATTATAGATCGATTACGTCATTAACATGTCGTCGTATGTTCAATCGGTCAATATGGTTGTTATTTTTTTTTTTTTTTTTTTTTAACGGAGACAAAATGGTCGATCGAGGAAAAGGCCAAGGTAGTGCAACTATGTATACGAAAGTTATTATTAATTACAAAATCCGGGTTATTTATTTAATAAGATTTTATTAACAATAATTTATTAACCTCATAAATATCACTATTTATGTATTTATGTATGTATATTTATATGTATACGTATTATTAATTAATGGCATCGGATTTTATTGATTATAATTTAAAAAACCATAAAAAAAAAAAATTTTATTTATTACTTTTCGTTTAAATAAATAAATAAATAAACGTCATAAATAAATTTAAATTGCCAAACTCATTCGTTATTAATAATAATAATAATAATGATAATAATAGTTGTTTGTTTTTTTTTATCTACAAAAAAAAAAAATTTATCGATGAATTTATTAATTTAAAAAAAAAAGAAAAGAAAATTCATGAAATGATTGGCAATGATATTTGTTTTCTTTTGCTTTTTGTTAAATTTTAACCTTTGACCTTTTATAAAAGATTTTATCGTGTTATTATTATTATTTTTTATTAATTTTACATAGGTTAATGATGAATATATATATATATATATATATATATATATATATATATATATAGATGAATGAAATTTTTTTTTTTTCTCTCTTCAAAAATTCAAATTTCTTTGGTTATTATTATTATTATTATCATTATTATTATTATTATTTTACACGAGAAGCATAAACAAATATAAGAAGATGAAGAAGAGGAACAAGACCAACGATCACGTTTTTGATTATGTTAAAGAAAAAAAAAATCAAGATTGTATTTGTGTAGTTTTTTTCTCTTCTTCTTCATCTTCTTCTTCTTCTTCCGCTAATCCGGGTCATCAGGGTCAACCGGGTTACCAACAACACAACAAGGCCGGATTACTCACGTATGTTTTTATTATGTTACGAATGCGATAAGGAAAAGGTTAACGTTAATTAACTTAAAATCCTTTTCTTTAATAATTTTTCGAAATCTATCGAATTCGATTCGTAGAAAAAAAAAAAGAAAAAATTTACTACCTTTACTACCAGGTTAATTGTTTGTTTGTTGTTGTTGTTGTTGTTGCGGTAATAATTGTTATCAATCATATTATCCGCATTGATAAAATTTCAAACTCATTGGAAAATGTGTCGAAACAAAAAAATTTATCGATTGTTTTTAAATTGGATTTTATAAAAAATTTATATTTCCGTTTCCGGTATAAAATTTTCACTAAAATTCCAAATAAAATTTTTAAAAAAATTTTTAAACGATGATAATAATGATATTTTATTTTTAAAACGGGAAAATGTTTTCGTTACCCTTGATCAGGACGTTTGTTGCTTGTTTGTTCGTTTGTTTGGTTTTTGAATGAGAAAATATAAACCGTTAATAGACAAAGATCTTAAAAATTTTCTTTTTTTTAATTAGTAATACGATTTAAACAATCTCTTTAAGATATTTTATTACTTTTTTTGTTTGTTTGTTTGTTTGTTTAACTTATTAGTATTTATTTATTATTTAAATTTAACGTTTGAATTAACCGTTTGTTAGTTTTTTGAACTTTTTTTTTTTACTCGCGCACATACAAAATAAATAAATAAAAGGAAATTAACTGCTTGTTATTTTCTAACAATATAATTGTCACAACAAACGAATAAAAAACGAAATTTGTAAAATTTCAAACAAACAAAAAAGTAATAATAATAATAATTCTATTGTCCGGTTAGAAAAATTAATTAATCGTTGTGGAAAAATTTTCCGAATCAATTTTTTTTTTTGAAAACAATGGATTCTTTGTCTTAATATTATTAATAAACTTCTTTGATTTATTATTATTATTATTATTATTATTTGATTCTTTCTTGTTGTTTGTTGGATAAAATCTAAAATCTAACGTCGTCGTTTCATTGTATTTCCGGTTTTTTAACATATATTTATGTTTGTGAATACATAAGAGTCCGCCATTTTGGTTTATAATTGATTTAAAATGATTTATTTCTTTTACTGTCTCTCTCTCTCTCTCTCGTTTTTGTCTTCTTTGTCTCTTTCTCTCTCTCTCTCTGTCTCTTACTCTCTCTCTCTCCCACAATTCATTCATATTTTCACGATAGACCAG